TACTAGTTCCGGCATACATGTTGTATATTTTATTAAATATTCATGTGTCGTTATAATTTAAGAATTTACCTACAAATGTATAACTGGCAGCTAATATCAATAAGTATCAGTTGATGTCAGCGTGGATTATTCAATGTTAGTAACATTTATAATTGTTAGGTACATCGCAGTAAGCGATCAAGATTATAATTGGAGAAGGCTTAACTCGTATCGATTTGTATTCTTAGTTTTAAGGTTCAATTAGATAGAGAGTATTAGAAAACTTAACATATGCAATAAATCAGTAATAAATGTATAGTTATAGTATTAATGATTTTGCATCTACTCGCTTTAGCAATTCATTTTGATATAAATATATTATTTAAATTCTACATGATTAAGTGTATTCAATCAGGTTTTAATGTATATGAAATAATCAACTTTTAGTTTTATATCATTATTATGCGCTTATGTCTTATACATATGAATATTCACAATGTATATTTTTGTCTGATACTTAACATAATTTGGTTTGAACTATCTGGATATTATTAAATTGTTGCCTTTGCTCCATGATTAACTAGGGTTATCGATCACTAAACGCTTACTACGATTTAACATTATTCTTAATGTTTGATCCCTCTAGTAAACATAATTCTTTAAATGTTTGTACCCTAGACACAGTTCTTTAATGTTTAGCAATCTTAGAATACCTCTTAGTTGTTATTGTTTTACTACTATGGAACTATATATTTCTTTATGTTTGATTGTTAGTATATAGCTCTCGTCAGTGGTAATATCCACTAGGAACGTAGTATCTTAAGTGTTGTATGACTAAACTATGTTGTAGTAAGCAATACAGCCGGAGCAGGCTCGGATCATTTTTGTCAAGTCCGGCTGTTCGGTTACTCGGTAGCCGTCTCGTTCTTGGCTGTAATCGGTCTATTCAGAGAAGATACAGTTAAGATCTTATGCAAAAGACCATTAGTTCCTTCCATTATGTAGATCAAATAACATATCACCTCGAACCTGACTCTATTCGCAAAACAGAATAATCGAAATTAAAGGCTACTTAAAAAAGAATTAAAAATCCAGAAGCAGATTTATTGATATATTGTTGTGCATAGTGTTGGTATAAAAAAGCAAAAAAAACAAAATAAATAAAAACACAATCAACATTTTCATATTATGCAGCAGTTCTATCATATCTATGGTACGGTATGTGTATCTGTTAGTTGGCACACTTGTATTTGCCTCGTACATTGAGTTCCGAAATTCGTATTTTTATGGTCCCATTAGCTCAATTATCTCATTCCTATTTGGCTGGCCCTGTAGGTCCGAGCCTGCAATTGTGGAAAAACCCCATATGGTGGAATCTAGGGGGTCTGACGGTGTGTTCCGCTGGCATAAAGGTCCTTCGGAAAATTCTGGTATTTTTCCGACGTTCAGGTCGGTGACTTCTTGAACTATAAATTGCCATTTCGTCTCATATCTGTGCCAATTCAGGTTGATCCTGTGAGGCCTAGCTCAATTGCGCAGAATGACCCATTATGATGGTGGATATTGTTTGGGTCTTGACGTTGTCTTCGCTGGTATAAGTGTGTTCCTTTCGTTATTAGATTCTATGGTATTTGCCGTACGTTGGAGTCGAATAAATCGTTACTAGGTATAATTGCCATTTCTGTTAATTTGCGCGGAATGAACCCACATGGTGGAGTTTGACGTGTTGTTTACTTGTCATAGGTGTGGTCCGTAATACCTTGGTTTTTTGTCCGACGTAGCTGACAATTAGTTCTATATAATTGTTGATTTCAGCTCATAATATCTGCGTTCCAAAATTGTTTCCCTGATAATCCTATAGCTTCCTGGTTGAGGTCCAGTCCGCATTGCGAGCAAACCCCATATAGATGGATGGCTAGAAAATTTTCTTTTTGTTTTAAATATGATCAATAAATATCATATCATTACCGGTGTATATTAAACGTTTTGTTTATTATATTTTAAGATTAGGTCTAAGGGACAAAACTTTTGCTTACTGTTGAATTTCAATAATTTTGCAAAGGGAGACAAATCCACCGGTCTTGTCTGATACTTTTCAAGGGAGATTACTCTATTGGTTTTAACTGTTTACATTGATTGGATCGTTGATTTTAAGCTATTTTTATGTCATGTGATTTCTTGGTGGGAAAAGCCATTGTGTCTTTGTTGTATGTAAGAATTAGTTTTTGTTAGAAAATTTTAAGATTGAGTGTTGTGTTTGTTTTTGGTTGTCAAGTTCTTTACTTCTTTATAGTTTATTATTTTATCCCGAACTGGCTGCTAAAATGCTTTATTGTAATTATAGAGAAATTGCGCATTACTGTAATTCTTTTCTATTTGGTCCAGTCCATTGATTTTGAATTTGAATAAGTATGAGTTTCGGAATAAATATATCTATCAAGTCACCTTTTCTTTTTTTTCACTATTAATTTTTAACCTTTTAACAGTCACGGGTGTGATAGAGAAAAAGTATCATTTAATAAGATTAAATGTTTTTTACTTTTAGTTTAAGATTAAATTCCCATTTAATTATTTTCGTTTTTAAGTTAATATTTGTTTGTTGTGTAAAATTTAACGGATTAAAATTTAATTTTTTGGACTTTTTCCCTAACTTTTAAAAAGGATTTTTTGGGCCACTAGACATGCAAATAAATTTTTTTTAATCACTTTTAAGAAATATAATTAATTTTAATTTTCTACTTTATTTTTTTTTTTTTTTTTTTAATTTTTAAATTGTTATATTTTTATTTAAAGGGGGAGTTTTTTGTACCTTTAGTTGATTTAAAAACCCTTTAAACAGAAATTGAAGAGGGGATCTAAAAAAACATAAAAAAAAAACCTTTTTTAATTTTTTAAACTTTTTTTTTGGGGAAAAAATTGTTTTAAAAAACCCGGGAAACCTATTTTGGGGGACCCTCAGGGGCTCATATGGTAATATATTTAAATTGCGCCGAACCACCCCTATTACATTATTATTTATGTTATTAAACAATAACTATTTTTAATTAATAATTTTTAAATTTTTGTGGTTTATTAGAATGTCGTCGAAGTGAAGAGCACCATGAACAATCTACAAAGGGAAAAATCAATGGTTGTAATTCAGGGGTCGTCTCAATTGTGGATATCCTTACCATTGCTAACATACTTCATGACCATGACTTTATAGCCTACAAATACAATATTAAAGTACATGTATGTTATAATATTTCATCTGATGAGAGCAAAAAATATTTCTGAAGAAATTTTATATCAAATTATCATTCTTCTGATTTAAATATTAATTATTATATGTGCATTATTCACCTATCATATAAGAAGTTAATTCTTCAAAAAATAAATGTGCGAAAAGCAACATTAAACCACAGAGCATGCGTTTCCGCGATTGAGACCGTTATTGGTGATCTCGATTGTTTAAAAAAAACAAAAACAAAAAACACTTTTAACTCCAATAGTTGCCAATACCATTCAAGAATTCAATTTAAAAAGAAAAAAAAGTGCTGATAGATAAAAAATCTATATAAATTAGACTTTCATATAATTAAAACTAGAAGTCTGACCATAATATACGAGGTTGATCTCACGGGATGCTCTTCATTGGACATATCAATATTGTATACCATAAATAGTACAAATATATTTACTTTATGCAAGTAATAAGTATATGTTGCACTAAAATGCGTTGTTGAAAAATACGTTGCTTTTGAGTAAACATGTAAATCTATATATTTTATACTTATGTTTGTATTGCACAACAGTCTGTATACCTAAATCACTTGTACGACATTTTGAACATTGTTAAGGCATGTCGGCATGCAACATTCAGATAGCGCAAGGAGTCGTGCAGACTGGTTTCCGTAGGTGGGTCGCGCGCCAGTCTACTTTTGCACACCACACTAGCTGCATGCGGAAACAAAAGGGTATATAAGCTGGAAATTTCTTTTAGTTTATTGTGGTTAAAGAGCTGTTGTTGTTGAGCTGAGTTGTTGTAGTTAAAGTGTGTTTTTCTTTTAGACTGTTGCTAGAATATAAGTATAATGCATTATTTTACAATTATTGACTAGTGTGCCATTGAATATGATGTGATATTCACCGGCAGATGACATATAATTGTCGAGGTCAATATGACTTTCTGCCGGTGAATATCACATCATATTTATTTGCACACTAGTCAATAATTGTTTTATTATATGAATAGGCTATACAAATTAAAGAAAATCACAGAAAGTACAACCTTATACATGTACAACTTTTGTTTGTTTCGTTGAAGCACCGGAAAAAAGACGCACGTTGAAGGCGTGCAACAACTACGCGAACGCTGCGCATACAAAAGTAACTCAAGTTTATACTCATCATTGCGATGTAACTTTTAACTATAATAGTAAAGCAATGGTGTTTTTATCAAGAAATATACCATAAAGAACAGAACGCAACAATTATTTGTTTTGTTTATCACGCGTAAATAACAGTCTACGATATATGGTCATTGAATACGAGTCTCAAGCTATTTTAGACTAGGAAAATCCAATTTAGCCAGTGAGTATAGTACTACACCAAGTGAATATGATTCTATAAAAAGTTCTTTTGACCAACGAGATTGCAGCTATATTTAGATCATATAATAATTTAGTTTCACTGACTTTATTATCATGATTTCACTTGGACTGCTTATTTATTATACAAGCATAGAGTTCTCAATGCGAAAACCTGTTAAGTTAAAAAATAACCAAGTGTTGTCGTTAAAATATCACCAAGCACTATCATATGACCGAGTGTATCGCGTACCAAAATATTGCTGCTCCTTTAACTTTTGGAACACCTCGTTGATTATTCCTTATTGAGCGGTGGAAATAGCCGATATGTTGCTATTGTTCGCAGATACAATTCGACCAATCAGAAGTTCTTAGTTTCCCGCCATTTGAACAATTAAACAAATCTTCAACAGCTGCAAAAGACCTCTTGCATGTTATTTTATAGAAACAAAGTTGTATTACTTTATCTTGGTTTTATTTAAGATTTTCTGCATTAAGATGTAGAGCGTCAAAACACAAAATCAACATCATGCAAAACAAAGTACATCATCATCCAACGGGCGTGACAGACCTGTAATAAAATCAAATAGCATGTATTTTATATAGATGATTTGATTAAACAGACAACATAAGTATTGACGGTATAAGAACTAAACTTCAGTCATATTCGAATTTGTTACTGTAAAATTATACATAAAATACTTTCGTTTCTTTTCACAAATGATATGATGCAGTATATACTGTTTATACCTGATATTAAAAAGGCTTTAATGTAAATATTCATGATCTTTAATATAAATACTATTGAATAAGATTGTAAGTAGCTTTTGATGAATAAAGTCATTCAATGGAGAAATTAGACTGAAAAGCTAGACGTATATAATTATACAACCAGTTCACATAGCCTTTAAATTAAACTTAAATCAACCATTGAAAATTTATATTAACAATTTGACTGTTTTTATTTATTATAAATAATTGATAGAAATGTTCAGAAATATTGATTAAATAATATGCGTATTTTCATTCTCTGTTTTTTTTCCACTGTAAGAATTTAGTTTTCACTGCACTGAAACATACATGTATTTATTTAAATTACCACTGATGTCGTGCCTAAATTCAGCCAATATACAAAATCCAAGTGGAAGCCTTTAACATTGTTATGTCAAACTAGAACTCCGCGAGTCGGATGTGTAGCCTTGTGAACAATATAGTTTAGGTGAAATGGCTTGGACAAAAATGAAATATGAAAATTAACAAAAGGCAATAACTCAAAAAAAGAAAAAAGAAAGAAATGCAGAGCAGCAGTTTCTATGCACTGCACTTCTTATCAATAAGATCTATCATCCTATGAAGTTTCAAGTCTATAGCTTTACAATTTATGAGAAATGGCCGGGACAAAATAAAGTATGAAAATTAACAAAAGGCAATAACTCAAAATATAAGAAATGCAGAGTACCAGTTCTTGAGCACTGCACTTTTTCTTAATGAGATCTATTATCCTATGAAGTTTCAAGTCCATAGCTTTTATACTTTAGGAGAAATTGCCCGGACAAAAATAAAGTATGAAAATTAACAAAGGGCAATAACTCTAACATTAAGAAGTGCAGAGTACCGGTTCTTATGCACTGCACTTTGGGTCATTATAAGAAGCATGCATACCAAGTTTGAAGTCAATCAGACTTATAATGACTGACTTATGGTCCGGACAAGCTTAAGGGGACGCCGAAGCCGACACCGTCGACAAAAGTAACCCCTATATGTTGCCTTTTTTAAGGCGACACAAAAAGAAAATCATGTACATGTTTATAATAAACAGAAAATTCAAGTTGTTTCTTATATAGGGTTTTGGTATGAAAATTATCATATATCCCTCTGTGTGTATTCACGAAATATTCACGAAAAATAATTCTGTACTTGATGCTATAAATGTAAAAAGAACCAATACTGACGATCCTTTCTGTTCGCAAATGTAATGCGGTTCATTCCAGTTACATGGGGCATCAACCCAGTGATAGTTTAGGGGTTTATAAATTGCAACACATCCCTCTTCTCCATCAACAAAATTATTGGGTTCTCCTGGAGCCCAGTCAGAAAAACCAGTTGACGTTAGTGGCTGTTTACTTTCAGCCCAGACCCATTGACCATCTCTCT